TAGATAGATAGATAGATAGATAGATAGATAGATAGATAGATAGATAGCCCTGCTAACAGCATGTTGCTATTTGACTCCTATACATATATATGTATATATATATATATATATGTGTATATATATATATATATATATACTGGAAGCAACCGACTGTTATCGACCAGTTAGCTCTGACATGAACAGGCTAGCTGCTAATTCCTGCAGATTCACTGGAATGTGATAAGAAAGAGTTGATGTTGAGCTTGAAGACATTTATCTACTGTATCAGAGAGAAGGAGAATCTGGAGGCAAAGCCAGAGAGTTTAACACCAGAGTTTAGTCCTAAAAGGACTCCAAAAATCAGTCATTTACATGGATTAGCTGATAGCATACGATGCTAAAGGGAGAAAACCAGAGCCCAGCTCTAACGTCACCTTGCTTAGGGCCGCTCTGATAAAGAAAAGGGCTCCAGGGCTGGAGTTCCCAGGACAATAAAGGAGGCTTTTGTCCTCAAGAGGAATCCGGGGGGAGTGTGTGAGTCACACAGATGAGGAATCACTGGGAAAACCTTTTCTGTGAACTTTGGGGAAGGTGATGGAAAATATTTGGCGGTGATGTGAAAAATAAAATAGACTCAGACATAAATGTTTTCTGTTATTTGTTGTTTTTGTTGTTGTTTTTTAGCTCCTATCATTTCTAAGCCTAATTACTTTCTTTTTTAGGGAAAAAAATACATTTCCAGGCGTTTTCTGTTATCAAAGGAGCCTCCCATCCATTTCAGTTTCATCATCGGTCAGAAATAGAAGCAAAAACATGATGTAAAGTGGCCATTACGTGACTCAATGACTCCCAAAATTATGCGTAAGCACCATTGTCATTCACACCTGAAATGTTCTAAACATAATCATAGCAGTTTAACAAAACAACCCTATTAGTTTAACTTATTTTGGGGTTATTTTCCAGTTTATGGCTCTTTTTAAACACCAAACAAACAGCTAGCTTAATGCTTGAGTTAACAAATTCATCTCAAGGCAGATTTAAAATGTTAAAAACTACTTGTGGAGTGCAAATGAATTTTAGTAGGAGACATATGCTAGCTGTAACATATATTAAAGGTTAAACGAGGACAAATATCGTATATCTATCTATCTATTGTTAGCTAAATGTAGCTAGCTGGCTAGCTAACTACAGTTAGCCCACTGGTTAGCACCCCACTGTCTATCAATTCTAAATACAGCAAAGATTTCCATTTGGGGATTCAATAAGTAGTTCCATTATATTATTCCATTAGATTATTCCATTGAATATCAGATAGATTAATAAAATTTTTGCTTTTAGCTCCCAGTGGACAGAACGATGAGGGACACTTGATGTTTTTCAGCATCTGTGCCTGCCAGTGTTTGTGAAATGATTGCCATTTAAACTCTTTTACTGCAGATGGGATGAGTTAAAAACACTGGGAAACATAATTACTTTGTAAAAGTGGCC